AAAGAAAATCAAAAGAAATTATGAAGACAATTTAAAATTATAAAACATTGAATGATACAATTTGATAAAAAAAAAAGCAAAGAAAATAAATAAATCAAAGTTATAAAAGGGGAGGTGTTTCATTGTTCATATGAACAATCACACACTATTAGTAAGTACATGTTCTTTTGATTTTTAAGATAATAAACTAGATCATTGCCCGCACTACATTATGGATTAGATCTTTTTTTTTTTAAGTAAAAAAGCTAGACGTTGTTGATGTGTTTTTTAGTAGAAAAGAATTTAAACCATGTGGGAATGACCTGATGTGACCTAGTTAATTTAACAGTCCAAAGATAACTCAGATTACCTTTAAAAAATATAGTTTGACTATCTTGGTCTCATAATATGAATAGCAAATTTGATAAGTTAACTCGGTTCACTAGGTCGATGTAATATGTTTATGTAAAAATATTTTCAATATATATATATATATATATATATATATATTATGAGACCAAGATAATCACATAAAAAATAAATTGAAATTATAAAATTTAATTCCCAATTAATCCAATGTTGAAGGTTGAAGGATGAAATTGAAAAAAAAATCTATTTTGAGAAAAATTAAAATATAAATAACTCGAGTCAATCTAGGTTAACTTGTCAAATCCACAACTTGATTCATGTGACTATGATAATCCCATATGAATCAAATCAAAATAAATTATGAAGCTTAATTTTTAACAAAACCTAATATTGAAGGATAAAATTAAAAAAATCAAATAAAAAAATACTCGAGTCAAACGGGGTTAACCCACCATATTCATGATCCAAGTAATGAGACCAAAATAACTTTATAGAAAATAAATAAAAATAAATTATGAAGTTTAATTAAAAATTAATCACATATAAAAGGATAAAACTTGAAAATAAAATTAACTAAAAAAACTCAAGTTAATCCGTTAAACTAAAATTGATATAAACAAACTAATAAAAGGATAAATAATTAAAAAAACCTAAACCTTATAATAATAATAATAAAAAAAAAACAATGTTTATTTGTTTTTTTATGTATATAGATATGCGCTCAACATGAGGTTATCAATTAATAATCTAATGATTTTTATTTAAACTAATATTATGATGATTAATTATTAATTATAGGAATTACCGGTATCATAACCATAAAGTATAAATAATCGTACAACAAAATATATTAATATTTAAAATATTAATTCATATTAATATTTTGCAACATTTTTTGCATTTAATGAGAACTCAATTTTGTATAGAAAATGGACCTAGAACAAATTTGATCGTTAAAAAAAGTTTAGTTAGTTAATTGAATACCCTCATTATTATATAAAAAGATATGTTACACAACCAGTTTGACATAAAATTAGAATTAGAATTAAAATTAGTGGAAACGCTTTAAGAAAAATAAGGTATTAGACACCAAAATGAAGTTTTTTTTTTTTAATTTGAAAAAGAAAATCACTTACTTTATTACTATTTTTACACGTACCTTTTTACATTTTAAAACCAAACATAAAAAAATTCAATGATAAAGATTGTCCCTATTACCATTCTTTCAATCATCACAAATTTATAATGGTTTATAATTTTTAAAATCTAATGAGATTTAATTTTTTTTTATAGAAAATAATTATAATAATTATTATAATAAAATAATTGATTTGTTTATTCCAAACTATATAGTACGGGAATAAAAAACAGAAGAGAGAGGAAGAAATAGCAGGTGTCGTAAGCTCGGCTTGGGAGCGGGAGCAATGGCGTTAATAAGACCCTCATTATCTCACACTCCGAAAAGTGAAGAGAGGACGCAGAAATCAAAACAATCAATGGATAGAGAATGGGGTTCGAAGCCAGGCAGCGGAGGCGCCGCCTCCGCCCAGAACGAGGCAATCGACCGCCGCGAACGTCTCCGACGTCTTGCCCTGGAGACAATAGATCCGGCAAAAGATAGTTGATAGAAACTATGTTGGCTGGTTTGGTGCTGAAAAATTGAATAGTATATATCTGATTAATCTCCTTAATCTGATATTTTGAGTTCAAAGTAAAACATATTGCATGGACTATGTTGATCCTTGTAAGATTAAGATCTAATGAAAAGGCTTTGGAAAATAAACAGTGGTAGCTTGTTGAGGCTAAAGGTTAAAAAAGATTGTGAATGAATAGAAAAAGTAAACAGAGAAAGCAAATGGGTCAAGTTCTTGAGATTGATTGTTTGTGGTTTTAGATGACAAGTTAAAGGCTTCGATTTAGAACCAAAAATGGTTTCATAGGATTTGTTTCTGCTACACATATTGCATGGCTTGACTAGAAATATTCAATTTGGAACTTGGGTTTAGTTATACTTCAAACCTATGCCGACAGTAATGCTGTTTGGTGGCAAGGAAAATATCCAGTGGTACTTTATCTTCATTTATGGTTTAGCTAGCAGTTGTTATAGCTTTATTATGTCAAGGGTATTGTGGTAGTTGTTGTTTATGAGTGTTCTAGGGCTCAAACTTTCCATTCAACTTAAAACTGTCCATCCTTGGTGTTTGGCAGTGTTGTCAAGGTGAAAGGCGCTAAAAGCACCAAGCATGGAAAATGCCTGAGGCACTAGGCGCATGCCTAGATGCTCACCCAAATGAACCAAGGCTCAACCTAAATGATTTTTAAAATTACATGTAATATAATATTATATTATAATATATAAATCTAAAATATATACCAATTAAGATTATATCATTTTGATTCAAAATATAAAATACCAAATATAAAGTTACATTTTTCACCCTTAAAACAAAATAAGATAATTTAAAGTAGTAACTAGCCAAATAGATTAAAACGCAAACTTAAATATCATCATTATTGTTCATTAATCTTCAAAAACATCATCCATGCTTTCCTCTCCGTTTAATTCCTCTATATCCTCCATTTCATGATTATAATCCAAATCTTCATCTTTTAAACCATACTGCACTTGTTTAAAACTAGAACTTAATCCCTTTTTATGTGTAGTTCTAGCACTTGATGATCCTATACTTCTCAACTTCGTCTGTTGTCTATTATTGGTTCTTGGTTCTCCAGCTCTAGTTGCCCTTGCCACATCACCCCAAGTTAAAGTGTCTCCATCAAACACCAATTCATCTGAACCTTGCGAGTGTACAATACAGTTAAGATCATTTCAATTTTTTTATGATAAAAGAATAATAAGATCAAATGTCAAAGTGCTTACATGTTCAAACACACTCCACTTATGTTCACAACCCACGACAAGTTAAGCTCAAGATTTTGATAGCTAATTTTTGTAAATTTGTAGTGGAACTTCCAAACAAGCTCTACCTTTAAGCTGTCAAAATTATGAACAAATAATTTAAAATTTTAAGGGTTGAATGTAATAAATGAATAATTTTAATTTTTTTAAGAAATTAATGAATATTTCCTGGAGACTTTGTGTTTCTTGATTGAATTGCAAAAAAGATTTTTAGCTCGCTTGTATACTAACAACTCACTCATGATTATATGTTGAACATCACTACTAGAAACCAATTTTTCAATGCATTGATACAACCCATTGATCACTTCTTGACCTGTTTCAATAGATGAATCACTATATTATCACTATATTAATTTTAAAAATACTTTTAGGAATGTAATTGTATTAAAAATTTGGTTTTCGTTTCATTAAATTAATATGGAAAAATTAGTTACTCAAAATAAACAATAAAATATTTTATATAATTTAATAATTTGTAATAATTAAAAAATGAATGAATTAAAGTAAATTAATATTTTAATAAATTGAATAAAATTAATCAAAGAGTGATTTATATAAAAAATGTTTTTCACTGAATGAATGAGTTTTGAATATTATGAAAGAAAATGAATATCATTATTAAAAAATTAATATAATAATTTGTATTTTGTTTTGTCTCGTCTCTTTAACTAAACATAGCACTACAACATTCACTATTTCTTGTAGATCATTACCAAACATGACTCCGTCTTCATCACCATCCCATCCTTGTCTCTTCTGTTTAGAGACAATAACCAAACACTATTTTATAGAACTTCGAACTTGAAAATAATGGGAAAGCCTTTTGTTTTGAGCAAATTTGGCAGATATGAATTTTACTTTTAAGACATTGGTTCATTGTTGCAATCTCTACTGTCGAGCACTAATCACACTTTTTTCTTGGAGATTCGTGTGAATTTCTATATGTTTATTACTTGTTGACGTGTGTTCTTCGTATCTGAACTTATTCTGCAAAAAGAGTAGTTGATTAAGACTGCATATTGGTTCTGAACTTCCTAACTGATAACTATGTATATGTGACCTGGTTTAGAATGCAAGCTAGGAAATTTCTACTGTATAACCAGTATATAGTGGAGATGAGCTTGTCTGTAGGTTGCTTAGTTGGGACATTGTATTTTTGGGCATGGTTGTTAGAATTTTACAAATTCATGTGCAAACCGATGTGAATCATGCGGGGAATCTTAGATGTTAATGAATTGTGTGATTCAATCATGATTTGATTTGATTTAATACGATTCATTGAATTTTATGAGTCAACTCAAATAGAAAATGAAAGTAAAATACATAATTGTAAAAGAGATTGCAAGAATAGGAAGGCTTAGTCTAGAAGTCATGAATGACACCAATGTGTAAGCAATTGTCTTTGATAAATGTTTGTACTTGAAACGGAAATGAGCTCTAAATTAATTTTCACGAAGGAGGAAAAGGGTGAAAGAAAACAAGAGTGCCAAAGTCAACAAGAATGACGAAGGTGATATTGATGTTGGGAAAGATTGCCAATTTTTTTAAAAAACTTGGAAATCTAGTAGTTTAACTAGTTAGAAGGTGGCTTTAAATGTATTATAAGTTGAATTGTTAGAATGGTCATGTACCAATGAACAATATGTTCAATTTGGATAGTTGGGGTTGTTTAATGACTAACAACTAATAAATGGTTACTTGATCATAAAGTAAATAGTTTTTGTTTTTTGGTTCTGGTTCATAAAGTAAAGAGTTTATGTTTTTGGTCTTTGAGTAGTCAAAATTGGCAGGCCTGCATATCGGGTGACAAAGCAATTCGATCCAGAGACAAAGCAGAGGTCTCTTCTCTTCCAGATTGAATATCCTGAGATAGAGGAAAATACAAAGCCAAGACATCGATTTATGTCATCTTATGAACAGGAAATTTCCTTTTCTTTTTTCTCATGACCTTTTTTTCTTTCTCTAACTTTTTTATTTTTACTTTTCTTTTCCGTTGATCTATTACCTTGTCAAGTGTTTAGTGACCAAAAATTTATTTGGTTGAAATTACTTATGAATTACAACTCAGCCTTTGCTTAAGAACTTGACTTTTGATTGTTGATTTTGACTGTAACTGAAATAATCAAACGAGAAACTGAAAGTGTTATTTATAAAATTGTTGCCGAACATATTTGGCAACTTAAGCAGTTTGTCAAAAGCAAATGATGTAAAATTAAGTCATTCATAACTATTATGAACTCCCACTAAAATTTCATCCCGTTTCTTCACTGATTTATGGTAAAAAATACTTAGTAAATTATGCTTTTTAATCTCTCATTGCTCTCAAGATGAATGGTTTTCTATCCTTCGATTAATCTTGGCCCCCTCTTCTTATTCTTGTCTCCTGGTGAATAAAAACTATGATCAGATCTTTCTAACTTGGGGTATGTTGTCGTGGATGCAGAGAATCGAGGCCAATGATAAGAGGTTTCAGTATCTTTTATTTTCAGCAGAACCTTACGAGATAATCGCTTTCAATGTATGCTCATAAGTGGTAATTAAATGTTTCTTACTTGTAAGTTGATGTTTAGTTCTAGTAATATTTATCATTTGTGCTTGTTTATTTTACAATTTCAGGTTCCTAGCACAGAAATTGACAAATCTACTCCGAAGTTCTCACATTGGGATCCAGACTCCAAGATGTTCACGGTTAGTATTTTGATTCTCGAACTGTTTCATGTCTTTTGATTGTCATGCCTTCGGACCCCATGTATTAATGTTATTTTGAAGTATTGATATGTCTTTTGATTGTCATGCCTTCGAATCCCATATATTAATGTTATATTGAAGTATTGAAGCAGTCTTTTGCAGATTTTCACTTGCGTCTTGTGTAACTTTGTCTGCACCGAAAACATGAAGAGACCTGGATCGTTTCTAGATTTCACTCCTTTGGGTGTGATTGCATTCAAGATTCCATTTGTTACTACATCTTCATAAACTGAGTGGACAAAGATCACCTACAAGTGGATTTTAGTACCAACTTCGTGGTCCCTTTACATTAAATTCTAATATGTTCTTAAAGATAAATTGATCATCTAACTTATTTGTGAATATATCTGACTTGAATGTCTAATGCACAGTTGCAGCTATATTTTAAATTGAAGCCACCAGAGGCGAACAAACCTCAATCTGTTGCTGCAGCTGACAGCACAGTGCCTTCCCAATCACCACCGCCCCTGCCACTGCAAGGACCTCCAGCAGGATCTAGACCCCCTCCACCGGCGATGCCTGCATCATTAGCCCCTCCTCCACCTCCTGCCATGGCTAATGGCCCTAGGCCTATGCCTCCAGGTGGAGCTCCACCTGCCCCACTTCCACCTCCTGGTGGCAGTGGTGCGATGGTGAATTTCACACCTGGCACTCAGGCGGGCAGGCCCTCATCAATGATGCCTCCCCAAGGTTTTCTTGGGCAACAGATGCAGGGCCAGACAATACGTCCTCCTCTGCTAACTCCCAACATGGGACAGTAGGTTCTCTAGCTTTATGTTTTCGTTAGCACATTTATGTAGTCAAACAATCCTTGTACTCAGTTGATGGATGCTTGTTTGAAGATCTGAATGTATTATGTAATTCATGGCCTCAAAGCTCAGCAAGAATGTGTTTATTGTGTGAACGGGGCAAATCTAAGAAAGACTAAAGCTAGACAATTTTATATTATTAATCATGGGATAAACATTCGTAGCAGCTCCATTTGTTTATTTCACAGAGTAACTCCCAGAACAGAATCTACCTTTGTGCTTGCAAAATTTAGTCAATTGAACTCAATTGTACTAAATTACAAAATCAATACCAATTTAAATTTACGAAAATGTTTAATAAAAAAAAAACAATTGTTTGAAAAAAATCAAAATTTTGGAAAATCTTTCTTCTATAAAAATGATTTTTTTAATAAATAAAAAATATAAGACAATCACATTCAGGAAATGCTTTTCTATAGAACTTGCATGTTTAATAATTTTCAAGCCATTAAAAATCTAATTTTTCTGAAAATAAGAAAAAATGTTTGCAAAATACTCAATCATTAAAATATTTGAGAATGTTTAAGAATGGTCGCCAAGAATTTTCAAATCTTTTTAATTTTTACTTCATAAATTTTAATTAGTGAAATATTTAGGGAAAAAAAACAATTCTTATAATTTTCTTTAAATTTTGCAGATACAATAAAATCCCTAAAATATTGAGTTCTTTTTGTGTAGTCTTTTTTATCTCTTCTTATTATTTTAAAAGGAATATTAAAAGGGATTTTAGAAGTTAAATTAAAGAGTAATTAATATACATATTTAATGAGATGTTTACAAAAAAAAAAAAAAACATTAATATGTTAACTAAATACAAACAATTGTTTATTTTCATGTAAGGATAGAAATGCTAAAATTGATCGTAAATAATAAAGCTATTGACGAAGTTCAAAAATTCAAGAATATAAAATAATAAAGCTATTGACCTTGTGGTTTGTATGGATTTTAGAATATAAAATTTAGTATTGAGATAATAGTTGATTAATATGTTAAAGTATTTGGATTTTGAATACCTACGAGAAAACAGTTTTAATTGGAGGAACTTAAAAATCATCTGATTGTAAAGTCAATATCTTTTAAAATATAAAGACAATAGATAATTAAAAAATATGAACCTTTATTATGAAGCTTTCATGGTATTTATAGCCTATAAATTGTCTTTATATAAAATAAAGGTTTGCAATATAATTACAATGATAACATTTAATAAAAAAAATATTTTTTATATGATGTGAATATGATGGGTTCTTAAATGACTTTTATGTAATTATCCTAATAGCTTTTAATGAAAGATAAATATCTATTATTTGGTGTGATAGGTCCTTGAGGATCTTTAACTTTTCCCAAATAAAATTGTTTTTTTGTAGGTATTTAAGACCTTAGTGAATTTAGAGTTCTTTAGATTGAGAAGAAATTCAAATATTTTAACATATTAATTAACTACTATCCCAAACACCAAATAACTTTTTATTTTATGTTCTTGGATTTTTGAACTTCATCACTTACAATAGATCATAAATAATAAGATTGATAAAACTTAAAAAGTTTTAATTTACAAAGGGAACTAAGAAGCAGTCTATCAGATAATCAAGAGTCATAATCAATCGAAAAGAAACGATTAAGAGCATGAGTTTAAGTACATGCAAAATAACCATAAAGTACAATTTTATTCAAATTAGGAGATCATAGATTAAACTACCAAGTAGTTTAACTTAGTTAAGATTCTTGTTATTATCAATATATGATAAGTTTAGTTTTTGTTATGATTTATTATGTAATATCTTTATCTAATATTTAAAAATGCACATAAAACTCTAATATTATAACAATGTAAATAGGTTATATCAACTATCATGGAGTATAACCATCTCCATATATGTTGTGTTTCTTGAAATATATAAACATAACAAACATAATAAATTTATATTTTTTTCATGAGTCACTAGAATCCTGCTAGATAATCTAAGATTGTTTAGGATTTATGGGAAAATTATCTAAAAATTAGATTTGTTTTGGGATTTGATGAACTTTTCAAAGTTGAGTTATTGTAAACCATAAGTCATTTAATTGTTTAGCATCCAACAATAATCCATACAAACCACGAGATCAAAATTTTTTAAACCTTTTTAGGAAAGAGGGATTGCTATGCTTTGAGTATTAGTTTTTTTTTTACTATTTTTTTCTCTAATCATCAATTAGAAAATGTGAGGCATAATATTTTATTTATAAAAAAACTTGATAAACCTATTAATGATAATTTATTACTTTGCCTCTTGAAAATATGACATATATTATTTAAGAACAGTTCTAGAAATTTATGCAATCAAGTTTTTACTTTATTTTTTTAGATCTAAAATTGTAATCCTATATATTAATTATATTCTAGTATTTAATTTCTATAACTTATTTACAATCAAGTTCCACTTGATTAATCATTTTAATTTAATTTCTTACCAATAATTTTTAATGTATCTGATCTATTAGGTTCATAATATATTAACAAAAATATAAATCAAAATCCTATAAAAAAACATAATTATATAAATTAAACAATTTAGCTTACTATTAATTAAATAAATAGATTGATTTATATTGAAAGTATAACATCTAGCAAAGTGTAACATCTCACAACGTGTTATAATCCATCAAATATTATGAAAGTTACATGTGGTTTGACTGAACTTTTTATAATCAATTTCTTAGTAGAATATATGAAAGAATTATCCTAATTCACTTAGTGTGATAAGTCATTAATTGATAATTCAAAACATTTATATAGTTCATGTTATATCTAATATCTATATAATTATTACCATTAATCAACGCAATGTGCAGTTATGATTAAAATATAGCATTCCCTATATAAAATAACACAAGCATCTTAAGTATGAGGATAAATTTCATATGAGTCTTTTCATAAACACGATTAATCTCTCCATATGAGTTTATCATGAATGTTAGTTCAATGTAAATGTCATTTAAATAGTATTTATATATTAGTTTCAAATATCACTTATACCTCAACTTATGATAATAATTTATTTTAACAACTCTAATTAATGTTTAATTTTAATAGAGCATTGACTAGAAAATTTATGAATAATTTTTTTATGTAATAAATATCATCATAATTATAACAATTTTATAATTTCTTTTACAAAGTATTTTTCCACCAAAAATTTTATCTTTACTTCTAACTCATTAATCAAATGTAAATAAATGCTAAAGATAAAGAATGACTTCATTAATAAAATATATATTTTTACATGAATAAAGTTAATATCACATATAATTAATTGACTGGTTACAAGGCATATATATATATATTAAAAGTATATTCAATTCCTATAATTTATTTATCTTTTTTTTTCTTTCTAAAGGGTTTTACTGTTTTCTTTTATTCACAACTTTCTCTTTATTACTTTCCTTATTTTTTGCATTTAGGTTCCTATAATCCATGTCTCCCTAAACTAATGTCTTTTTCTACACGATGGTGCTTTTTAGAATAAATAACCCTTTCTAAAGGTATGAGATCTTGAATACCACTTCTCATTAAATAGAGCTAGTTGTAGCCTTATCATAGATTTTATCCAATATGAATTTAATTAGCAACATATAGAATGACATGCCAAGAGAGTTAAAATTATACATCTCTTATTAAATCCAACAATTATGTTATATTTTTTGTTTTCAAATGTCATTGTTTTTACGAATTACCAATGAGTACATGATGGGAATGCAAAATATTATATTGTTATTCCTTAGTGCTTAGTATTTTATATTTATTCAGTGCCTAAATGTACTCATTATTTTTTATATTTCAATTTAAGATGCAAATGGAGGCGTTAAGGGCACAATAAAACTAAGTAGGCAATTTTGGACATTTTCAACACAACTTTATAATTTGGGCATAACTCTCTCATCT